GGGTTCAAGATGACTCATCCAGTTTGGCTCCATTAATGGCTTGTGAACTAAGTTCAATGAGCTAATAAGTCAAGCTTTAGCTGGTCCTAACTCGACTCATCAGCTTATGAGTCAGCTCATTTAAAAATTATTAATATAAAATACACTTAAAATACATTAGCATTTAAAATTTTAAGTATAAAGTTATTAACAATGTCTTACAATTGTAGTTTGCTTTCTTATATTAAGTGATTATTTATTTTTCTTAGTTTATCATTCTTTTTATTATTTTATTATTATAATTAATTGAATCATAATCATTTTTCATCTTTTATAATAAATGAACTGGCTCAAAACTCGTAGAAAAAAAAAGCTTGAGCTCGAGCTTAAATTCAAACTTGATTAATTAATCAAACTCAAGCTCAAGCTAGGGGTGATATGAGCTCGGCTTGATTCATTTACACCCCTAGCTAACCTTCATATATTAGAGAAATAAGCTCCCTAATATGATATAATATAGTCTAAATATATGTCATGTGTATATATTGATAAACTTGGCCATTATAGACAAACTACTCAATTCATATTATACTTATACATGCAATATGAGACTTTATCCATATAAATCAAATCTCAACTTAAACTACTAAAATGACAAAGAAATCATAATAAAATATATTGGTTAAGCAACTCTGTGAATACACACAAGAGGGAGCAAAATTGATTTTTTTTGTTAATCATACTATATAATCCAAAATGTATTGTACAATATATTCAAACATAAATTAATTTAAATATTTAATTAAATGAGATTAATTAAAATTATGTTATAACTAATTGTACTATATGAACATCACATCTACAAGATGATTAAATATTTTAAGAAACTCCGTCGTCGAATCATGGTTACTTAAACCAGGCAAATTTGGAATTTGAACTGATCTTACTATACGATATATTTCATACTTTATGAATATTAATTAAAACTATCTAATTTAATTTTGAGGATTAAAAAATTGAATTACATCTAATCACCATTAATGATCGTACTATACGATTTACTAGAGAACTTGTTGGATGAACCTTAGTTTATCATATAATATTAGTCATTCATAATATACGATTTATGCATTGTACTGTAAGATCAGAAGGTTTATATATTGAAAATTAGGTTTTTAGGAGCCCACTTTATAAATTATTGTTATGTCTTTAGGGTAAGAGTTTTTTAAAAGTCAAAGGAGGTGAGGTTGAGAGAGGGAGTTTTTTTTTAGGAAGTCAAGGGGTGTGAGGGGGATTCACACTATGAGTGTCAATATTTGACACGACATGAAAATTCAAATTGAACCCGACATAAAATTGGAGTGTAAAAATGGATTAATGGGTCAGGTTCGGGTCCAATCAGGCTTGACCCGGGTCCAAACGGATCAATCCGAATCCTACCCCAATATTACAAATGGGCCAGGTTTCCCAAAACGACCCATGTGGGTTGTCGAGTTGACTTGACTTGACCCGACCAGCAAACCATTCGTTTATCTACGCATGAGAGGGAGACTGGGAAAGGTCATTCACAAAGGTCTACCGACGTAGAGATAGCCTCGATGGCGTTCACAGGTAAAAGAGGATGAATCCACTGGCACGAGGAAGATCGCGAGCTTTTCCCCATCCACCCTTAACATGAACTCCTTCAGCGGAGAATCTGAGGAAGTGGTGAAATTGCTTAGCAGAACGAAGCCGGAGGCCAAGACGTAGAACTGAGCGGAGGCGAGGTTGTGGCTACCAGTGGAGAAGTGGTAAAAAGGTATTAAAATTGTTAGAGATGGAGATTTTTGGATTAATGGAAATTAGGTAAGTGGCATTAGGGAGGAAGATGCGATGGTCATAGAGCGTGATTGTGGAGATGGATCTGCGTGAGATGAGGTGGTTGTCGGGAGGAGAGAATAGAGCGGAGTAGCGGAAGAAGAGGGCGCGTAAGAGGAGAGGGCATTCAATTATACCTCCTCGCCCGTATACATCTACACTGGACTAGACATTCGCACTCACCACAGAGGCAAAACCACAAAGACGAAGAAGCCTTTTTACAATTCGGGTTAAAATTGGGTTAGCGGGTTGACCATGATCCTACTCAATTTCTCAAATGGGTCAAAAACTACTACTCAAATCTGACCCATTTGTTAAACGTGTCAATCTGAACCTATATTTTTTGGGTCGATTTTGGGTGGAGTTATCAGGTCATGTCAATAATTGCTCCCCTAACCCAAATTTTTTGGACTAGGATCAACCCGTTTAAAAAATTGATCGTTTGGCTCTCAGAGCCTGACACGTATGAGATTTTGTGTCAGCTTTGGATCAACCCGATAACCCAAAAGTAACCCAAAATAAACCCAAATGTGCACCTCACTTGCGCTTGCCCATATCGTCTCTGTCACTTGCGCTTGCCCATTGAGCATGCCCACTTCGTCTACCCATATGTCCGTCTATGCTCGCCGGATCAATCACGTATGCACTATGCTATCTTGCACTCACTGCCTCATCGGATAGATGCATTCACCCGTTGTGATCGCCTAAGTCAATATGTTGGGTCGGGTCAACCTAGATTTGGGGCTGGTTTGGTTCGGGTTCTGATTTCTCACCCATTTGTGTAATCAGGTCAAGTTCAGGTTGGATCAGTTGAGGGTCGGTTAGTTCTAGGTTAGACTCAAATCCAACTCGAAAATCCATTTTAAAATAGAAGCACAATATTTAAGTTAAGTGTTGTAGAGATGAGGATTCTCATGTGGATGCATGTCTTTACCCTTAGACATAGGATACAAAATGAGCATATACGTGAAAAAGGTTGGAGTAGTTCCAGTGGAAGATAATATTAGATAGAGTCACCTTAGATTATTTGGTTACATAAAACGGTGCCCTTCCAATGACCCGGTTAGAAAAGTAGAGGAATTAGATTTGACTTATGTTAAGAAAGGTAGAGGTAGGCCTAAAAGGACTTGGTTATAAAATATTGAAATGATCTTTTTTCATTAGATTTAAATGAAAAATTGACTTTAACGATACCCAATGGAGAAAAAAAATCATGTAGCCGACTCCACGTAGTGGGACAAAAGCTTGATGTTATTGTTGTTGTTGAAGATGTGTGTTTTTCTTACCATGGTCGAGGCACAAAGCTAGAATTTTCTTTTTGTGAAGGCATAAATTATCAATTTTAAAATAAAATTTAAATAAATTTTTAAATAAATAAAAAACTATTTTAAAAAGAATGTCATAACATCTATAAATAAATAAACATAAGAGAGACATTTTAACAATGAAACTATGCATTAAAAAAAAAATTAAACCCAATTATGAATATTTAAACTTACTTGAATCTAAGATTACAACCCTCCACATAGCTCAAAATGCTAGAATCTCCAATCTCTGGATTCTTCCACATCAACACAAACAGAGATGTTGGTCCAGTTATTATGATTAAACTCCAACCTATGCAACCCTAAATCCAAGGCCAGCATCTACTGCTTTAACGAATGCCTCCTTGAGGTACCAATACCTATATTATAAACTAGAAAAATATAATATGAGACATAAAACTAATGAGCCACGCGATTTGCAAATTTAGATTATAGAATAGATCAAGCTAGAGTTTATAAAATGAACATGATAATGCCAGAGTGAAATTCATTTCTCGCAACTGATATATGTAGCTAAAAATCAATAATAGAAAAACCACAAACTTGGGAAACAGGCTACAAATGATTAAGATTTCGTTTGGGACAGCTTTCTTATTACTTCTCAAAGCAGCTTTTTAGACTCGGTACATACATCAAGGATTAATAGTAAAGTTGTAGAGAAAAGTAAAAGCAACCGAAGAAGAGTTGAATATGTTAGAGTGGGTTTAGAGTATATATAAAGAGATCAGCCTATAAGTGATGGACATGTGGACTGTCCGTTAGTAGCAGCTTTGTGCAGGATAGTGGAGAGTAATTGCTGTAGCAGGATATGTATTATGTGCTTTGACAATTATAACATGACCAACAATAAAAAAAAAACATAAATTATAAACCCTAAATATTAAAACATAAATTCTAAATCCTAATCCTAAATCTCAACCTAAAAATCCTTAAAATTTTCAAACCATCAACCTTTCAACCCATTACAATATAAACTCCTAATCAGAAAACTCTAAACCACAAAATGCAAACCTTAATCCCTAAACTCCTCACACCTCACTCATCTATTAATCATCATTCACCACCATTAATGATTTTACTCTACATTCATTAAGGTTTTATTTGGGACAAAATTTTTATTATTTTCTAAAGTATTTTTTTAGAACAAAAATATCTTTATCTAGAAGTTTTTGTACTAAAAAAATTGTTTAGAAAGCATTAATTAAACTGCCTCAAATCAAGTCTAAATTTAGATAATAATAATAATAATAATAATAATATGCTATATTTAATTATTTAATTTAAATTCTACCAAATAATTTTAGACAGTCAAAATGCACTCCAACCCAAAGCCAATAACATTGCACGGCATCGCATCTTAGCAATTTAGAACTTGGCGACGCTTCTTAGGGCTTGCGGTATCCCGTTACTCTTGAAATGGAGAAAGGGAAGAGGAGGTGGATTGTGAATATTTCCCACTGGAACCCTTCAGACGATCACTTCTTGTCTCTCGTCTCTTTCCTTCCATCGCATGAGCGTTCTGCCGTCAACAGGTTTGTTTGTTTTTTTGGTCATTATTACCCGTCAATTTGTCTTACTCATCGCATGGATTGGCATGTAACGTTTGAACCTTTGAATTTTGAATACTGGACCTTTAATTTTCGTTGAGTCTGCTATCTTTTTAGTAATTTGCGTAGACCTCATAGTAGTTTGCCCTCTAGGTGAAAACAACAATCTTTTAAAACTTTTTTTTGTGAATCTCTACAGTTTTCTGTTATTTTTGGAAACAAGGATAATGATTTTCTCGCTTTGGTGAGTAGGGACAATTAAAGAAGGTTCTTGCAAGAACTCTGGTATGGAAATATTAGGGTTTATTTTTTAAAAATAGATTTATTTGTTTGATATGCAAATGGGGAATTGGGGACTTTTATTGGCTTGTATAGCAGAAAACGGATTGCAATAACTCCACTGTCGGTAGACTTACCAAAGAAAGAGGTTCAATCCTATTTGCTATAGCGACTGGCAAAATGATTCTTGTGCTTATTCTAGTAGAGAAAACCTGAAATATTCTTGATGTTCTTCTTTCCCTATCACCTTGTCCTGACTACCCCATCATCTCAATTGATCAGGCAAGGATAGGATTCAAATCTGCTGTCATCCGTAAATCGTTAAAAATTCAATAAAAAGCTAGGCTAAGCAATAAACTAAATCGATTTTTAACCTCTACTTCCAATTCTGCCACATTACGTTCCACAGCTTGGCCAACAGTAGTGGATCTTAATTGTAGGCCTAATAGAAGAATGCCTTACAATCAATCTAATAGCAATGATGGAAATAATATATATAAGTTAATTCATGGTAAGTTCATTATGTACAAAGCAAGAAATGACCAATGTTTTGTCAGATACAACCAACCTTGGGATGCTTTTAATAGCCAACAAATGGTTAGGAGCTGAAGAGATAACCAAAAAAGGATCTCTCATGTGCAATGTTTCATAATATCTAATGTTATCAATTTTGGTATGGAGACCAACATCATTAACTTTATCCTAACTTTTTTTGGGTTGGCTTTATGAATCCTCATTTTTCATTAATTCCTGCCATGTTTTGTCTGAGATGTTAAACCTATCATTCACATTTCTTTTAAATAAATTCTATTGATGCCACCTTTAGTCTACCTCTTCTCCTTAACTTCGAACACTAATTTCTTCTATTCATCTAATGGGTGTATTTTTCACCTTTCATTGGATATTTCAAAACCATATGTCTATTTTCAATTGCCTTATTTTTAATTGATATTATTTCTCATTTTTAGATACATCCACATTAATTGTATCAGTTTTGTTACAATCAACTTATTTGTTATTGTTTTTTTTCTTGGTCACTTGAATTCATGCAATAGCACTAACCTAATTAAAATTTTATATTATTTACTTTCAATTATGCATGTCATCCTTTTATTGCATAAAATTTATAAGGCATTTCTCCATTTTACTAATCATTATAAATATCATATTCTTTAAAATTATATACATAGTGTTTTTTCCACTAAAAATCTTAAGTCTTTTGTGTTTGTGTTTCTAATATCTTCTTTTAAATTGTGAGAGCAGGACTTATTAGGTTCAGCAGAACCGGCTCTATACTGTAGCACAAAGCGAAACCGAGTGCAAAAACACGATCAGAGCAGTTGCCGCGGGCGTATATACGTCCATTCGACGATTTTTTTCACTATTTTAATGGATAAACGCGAGAGGGAGTGAAAAAGAGCAACTCATCACGTGAGAAATATCCGTTTCATTCATTCCTGTTGAAGAAAACAAGAGAGAGGAGTGTTCTGTTGTGAGAGCCGGCTGAGAGGAAGAAGAAGAAAGTAAGTTTTTTTTTCCAATTCATTTCTTTTAGCATTTTTTTTCTATTGTGATTAATCCTAAGAAAAGACAAGTTATATTAAAGGGAAATCTGTAAAAGAGAGGAAGAATTTGGATTTTTGGAATTCCTTCCTGGGGAAAATAAATGATTTAATTTGAGGTTATATATTTTCATTTCTCGTTTCTTTAGTTGAAAAGATAATAAGAAAATTTATTTTGAATTTTATGTTGGAAGAATCCAAGTGATATAAACTTTAGTTCGATGGAGGAGGAAGAGAGAATTTCAAGGAAGGAAGGGAAATTTTGGTGAGATAAATTGTATAAGAAATGGGATATTTTATCAAATATAGAAATAATAATAATTAAATTTAAATTTAAGATTTTAAAAGCAAATAATTAGAGGGAGAGTAAGTTTGAGTAATTAAGATATTTAAATAAAATATGGATTTTAATTGAAAATGCTAATTAGGAAATTAATTATGCAAATAAAGAATTAAATGATTAGTGATAAATGACATATAAATAAAATAGAAAATATGAATTAAATAAAAATATAGAGTAGGAGAAATAGAAAGTATGTCTATAAATTTTAATATATGAGATTTTAATTATTATAAATATTTTAGAAATCAACTAATGTGAGAGCAATTAGAGGCTTTAATTAGCTATTTTGAGAAAGAGAAAGGGAGAGCGAAAAACATGTATTTTAAAATTTAATAATAAAATAAATCTTAATTAATGAAATACTCTATGATTATTTTTAGGAATTAAAATATATTTAAAAAGAGAAGAAGTTTTGAAATATTAAGTTAGAGAAAATGTTGAGCAAATAATTAATTAAATTTAATGAAGTGATCTTTTATCGGTTTTAAATCTACCGTTATTGAAATAAGGAGTAAAAAGGGAAGCAGTGCATTTCCTAAGTTTAAGATGAGTACTCATTCTTTTATTTTATAGTAGTAATATTTTTTTCTTTATTTCAAGTTTATTGATTTAATTGATATTGATTAGTTAATGGTTATTATAAAATTTTAGCGTTTCTTCTTTTTGAATGGCCATATTGAATGATTTGATAGTTTCAGCATATGCATTATATGAAGTTATTGAAATGATATTAAGAAGGTAATTAATATGATTTATATAATATATTTGTATGTGTATGTTGACTGATGGAACCCATCCCCTTATGGTATTGGCTAGAGATGCAATGTACCCGTGCACGTAAATTAAAAAAGGTTATGAAAAAGAAAAATGAAATAGAAAATGAGTACCTTTAATGGTACTAGTCGGCGGCTCCCGTGACGAATATATTATTTATGAAAAATGAGAAAGATACGAATATAGATATGTAATAGATGATATATATCTGAGTTATGTATAACATTGAAAATCTTGATGAAAGGATATAATTAAATGTAATTATCTTATGATGTGAAATGAAAAATGGATCATACATAATATTCCAATTGCATTGAGTTGATGTAGTTTAGAAGTATGTTTTACTCATTAAGTTGTAGCTTACTCTTCGTTGTTCTAACATTTTCAGGTATAATTTAGTATAATCAAAATGAATAGAAGAGGTAAAAATATGTACTGCAGACGCGGCGCACCGGAAGAAAGGTATTTAAATTATTTTTATATTTATTTATATTTTTAAATTTAGTGACTCATTCAGTATATTGGAGATAAATTGAGCAAATGAAAATTTAAATCACAGTCTGACCGTCTGTTCCCGCCTCATTAATTCGAATATTTAGGTCAGGTCATGACAAAAGTGGTATCAGAGCACAATGAGTATCTTAAGCATGTGAATCATAATGAAAGAGCCATATGAATGATTTATGAACTTATTTTAGAATAATTTAAATATTCTATTATATTTTAGAATTAATTAATTTATAAATATATCAGGTATACGGATGATGAAGAGGACATAACCAGCAGAAATTTGGGAAGAGAAGAAGTACCACCTGAAGTTATTATAAACACCAACACCTTCACCCAGATGATGACAATTATGACCCAGCTACTTCAGGAATCAAGATCACAGTTTGATGTTGGAGCTGATAAATATCTAAAGTTATTTCAAGACATGCGACCACCTCTATTCAAAGGTAATGAGGGACCAATTGAGGCTGAGAATTGGTTGCTTCGTATAGATGATATATTTGATAGCATGTCGTGTCCTAATGAGAGGAAAGTGTCACTCGTTTCTTTTGCCTTGGATGAAGAAGCAAAAAGGTGGTGGAGAGGGCAACGTGAAGACGAGTTAGGAGATATTCCAAATACATTGGTTAACTGGGAAGACTTTGTGAAACTTTTCAGACAATGGTTCGTTCCTATGTCAGCAAGAATACAAATGCAGGACAAATTTATAAGTTTGATTCAAGGAGACAAATCAGTGATGCAATATGAAGCAGAATTTACAACACTATCTAGATATGCACCACAACTGATTGCAACAGCAGAAGAAAAATATTGTAGATTTCTATCCGGTCTAAAGGATGCAATTAGACAACCTTTAGTACCTTTTGGAATCGAAGATTATTCAGTGTTGGTGGAAAGAGCTAGAAGGGTGGAGATTGACTTTCAAATCACTCAGAAGAGAAAGGACCAGTATAAAAGGAAGAATGTTGACGAAGATATCCAAAGTAATCAGAATGAAGAATCAAATGGGAAGAAGCCCAAGTTTAATCCTAGTGGTGTTAGCAGTGCGACTGTCAGTAAAGTTATGGAAGCTTGTGCCAAGTGTGGCAAATTACACAAGGGTGAATGTCTGATGGGATCCAACACTTGCTACTGGTGTCGTCAACCTGGACACTTTGCAAAATATTGTCCTAGGTTGGGTTAGAGGACTTCTGGTGAGATGAAATCAGGTGAAGCACCTTCATAGAAGAATTTTGGTAAACAGAAGATGATGGAACCGTCATTTTTATCTTCAGCACAAAATCAATCCAATCAATCCATGCAGAATGTTCGACCTTAAGTTTATGCTTTGACTCAACAGTAGCTTAATGAATATGTAGATGTTAATAAAGATGAATGAAAAGTCTTTAATATAATAACTTGTTATGCTATGTTAGATATTTTGGGTTTATCAGGTTATCTTGTTATGTAATATCAAATGTTTAGTTTTATATAGTTATGCATCCAATGCTGAAGTTTATGTTGAATAAAATTGAAGATGTTATTTACTTATATAACTATAAGGTATAAGTAAATTTCAATGACGAAATTTTTATAAGTAGGAGAGATTGTGAGAATCGAACTTATCAGGTTCAGTAGAATTGGCTCTGTACTGTAGCACAGAGCGGAACCGAGCACAGAAACATGATCCGAGCGGTCGCCACGGGTGTATATACATCCATTTGATAGTTTCTTTCACTGTTTTAATGGATAAACATGTGAGGGAGTGAAAAGAACAACTCGTGTGAGAAATATTAGTTTCATTCATTCCTGTAGAAGAAAAAGGGAGAGAGGGGTGTTCTGTTGTGAGAGGTGGCTGAGAGGAAGAAGAAGGAAGTAAGTTTTTTTTTTTTTAAATTCATTTCTTTTGGTTTTTTTTCCTATTGTGATTAATCCTAAGAAAAGACAAGTTATATTAAAGAGAAATCTGGAAAAGAGAGAAGAAAATTTAAATTTTTGGAATTCCTTCTTAAGAAAAAATAAGTGATTTAATTTGATGTTATATACTTTTATTTCTCATTTCTTTAGTTGAAGAAATAATAAGAAAATATATTTTGATTTTTATGTTAGAAGAATCCAAGTGATATAAACTTTAGTTCGATGGAGGAATACAGAAGAATTTCAAGAAAGGAAGGGAAGTTTTTGTCAGATAAATTGTATAGGAAATGAGATATTTTTCACAAATAGAAATAATAATAATCAAATTTAAATTTAAGATTTTAAAAGCCAAAAGTTAGAGAGAGAGTGAGAGAGAGTAAGTTTGAGAGATTAAAATATTTAAATAAAATATGAATTTTAATTGAAAATGCTAATTAGGAAATTAATATGCAAATAAGGAATTAATTGATTAGTGATAAATGACATATTAATAATATTAAAAAATATGAATCAAATAAAAATATAGAATAGGAGAACTAGAAAATATGTGTGTAAATTTTAATATATGAGATTTTAATTGTTATAAACATTTTAGAAATCAATTAATGTGATAGCAATTAGAGGTTTGAATTAGCTACTTTGAGAAAGAGATAGAGAGAACGAACAACATGTATTTTAAAATTTAATAATAAAAAAAATTTTAATTAATGAAATATGCTATGATTATTTTTAAGAATTAAAATATATTTAAAAAGAGAAGAAGTTTTGAAATATTAAGTTAGAGAAAATTCAGAGCAAATAATTAATTAAATATAATGAAGTGATATTTAATAAGTTTTAAATCTATCGTTATTGGAATAAGAAATAAAAAGGGAAGCAAGTTCAAGGTGAGTACTCATGCTTTTATTTTATAGTAATGATGTTGTTTTTTTTTTTTTATTTCAAGTTCATCGAATTAATTGATATTGGTTAGTTAATATTTTTGCCAAAATTTTAGCATTTATTCTTTTTGAATAGTCATATTGAATTATTTGATAGTTTCAGCATATGCATTATCAAAAGTTATTGAAATGATATTAAGAAGATAATTGATATGATTTATATAATATGCTTGTTTGTGCATGTTGATTGATGGAGCACACTTCCTTATGATACTGACTAGGGACGCAATGTCCCGTACACGTAAATGAAAAATGTTATAGAAAAGAAATTACAAAGTTTCCGGAAGGGATCTCTTAATATTGGATATTTATTGTTAAACGAGTCTAGAATTTTTTTTAAAATGAGCAGAGTATCATTATAGTCAAAATAGCATTTGCAAAGTTTTGTGCAAAATACTTGTATCAACTCCATTTGCACTAGCCTTGTTATTGCCATGGATACATTTAATTTTGAACTCTACATGTAGATTGTTCTGGTTTTTCACTACTTCGTTCTAAATTGTTTAAGGATTTGTTTGGTCGCGTGCATATTTAAGGGATTATTAAACTATGGTTGTTTAGAATATTGTAATTCTTAAATCAACTAAATTCATTCGTTTAGAGCTAATCTATGAATTTTAAATCTTCTATTTGGTTGAAGGTAATCTGATTTTGTGTAGGAAAACAAAATAATTACGTCTGAGGTGTTTGTAGAGTTTAACACCCATCTTAATTTTTTATTAAAACCAACCAAATTGAATCCAGCGGATTTCTTAGTTTTGTAAAGCACATTTCCGACTGCCCTAGGAGCAAAACTTGTCAGTTTATTTTATGGTCTGAGAATTTTCTTCACGCCATTTCCGTTGTTGTTTTTGAGGCATTTTCATATTTGTGTGATACAACAAATTATACCTATCTTCTTACATATAGTCTGTGCATTAGATTTATTAGGTTTGAAGACAGGAAAAGGGCATTTGTTAGTCGGTTGCTTCAATACACACTAGTTCATGATGTTTTCGGCATCCCAATTGACAAAATATTAATAAACCGAACAGTTGAGGGAAAACCTTACCTGGTATGATTGTTTCTCAAGCTTATGTTTAATTATGTTTGGCTGAACTGATCTGCAAAATGTGGACAATAGAAGTGATGTATATGCAAGTTACTAGTGTTTTATTTTAGCTCCTTTTACTTGTATAGCATCTAAATCTAGAAATAATTAGTGGGATTGAGACATTTGGTCCTTTCCAACTTGATACAGCAGATTTTTACAAATTTGAAAAGCATTTACATTGTGATTTGTAACTTCATTGGATTGCTTCTGCTTGAATGGAATCTAGTCAATAACCCTAACAGGGGAGCAGTGCATTAACACCATGGCCGTAACGCCTATGTCACTAAACAGCTCTTTCTTTGATTTTCCTTTTACCATTAAGACTATAAAATATCTCCCTTTATTGTTGTATTGCTCATCAACACGTTGATATTAAAGTTGCAATACTCAAAATTGAGATATTTGTCGATGGTTTTTAAGAGTTATTTATGGTCGATAAAAGGAAATTGATGCCAATAATTCAATAATAACCGAAGAAAAAAGTATAGGGCACTACACCAATACCCATTTGCAATGTTTAATAAGCAAATGTTCACACATCATGGATGGATGTGGGCAAAGAAGCTAAACTATGAAATTAGAATTATGATATGAACTTAGAACATAGGTGCTCATATATATATATAAAGAAGATAAATATTCTATACAACAACAACGACATCAAGCCTTTGTCCCACTACATGGGGTCGACTACATGAATCATTTTTCTCCATTGTGTCCTATTAAAGGTCAAATTCTCGTTTAAATCTAATAAAGAAAGGTCGTTCCTAATATTTTATAACCAAGTCTTTTTAGGTCTACCTCTA